ATATATAATACACATTCATGCATATACATATATAAATATAAATATTAGGTAAATAAATAGATAAAACAAAATAAATAAATAAATAAATAAATAAATAAATAAATAGTATATACATACATCATCAATAATCTTGAGTAAATCTTTAGCAGATTTAAGCCTAAGAGGTACAAACCCTAATTGAGGGTTTCGCATATAATGCGAACAATTTAGGGTTTCTTCTTGTACATTTCCTCTCCCTGTTGTTGCGAATGTTTCTATAGCATATACCTCTCCTTCCTCCATCTTATTATGTATACCTGTACTATGATTAATACTTTTTACTATTGGTACAGATTTACCTACATAAATATATACATATTATTTATTTATTTATTTATTTATTTATTTATTTATTTATGTTTTATATGTTGCTTGCTTTGTTTATTCAATTGGGGGGAATATTGATGGGTTTGGCGAGGGTTTAGGGTTTATTAGGGTTTATTAGGGTTTATTAGGGTTTGCTAGGGTTTAGGGTTTATACCTCTATGGGTGCAATACAATGCCCAGTAAGATTTCTTATAAGCTTAATAGGTATAGTGTGCCCTATACATTAGTGTTTAGTGTTTCCTAGGGTTTATTCGTGGATTAGGGTTTAGGGTTTAGGGTTTAGGGTTTATTAGGGTTTGCTAGGGTTTAGGAAGCAATTGAGTACCCAGTAAGATTTCGTACAGGTTTAATTGGTATAGTTTGTCCTACACTTTAGTGTTTCGTGTATATTAGGGTTTAGTGTTTGCTAAGGATTATTAGGGTTTAGGGTTTAGGGTTTAGGGTTTATACCTGCATGTATCCAATAAGGAGCAATAGAGTGCCCAGTAAGATTCCTTATAGGCTTAATTGGTATAGTTTGTCCTACGCTTTAGTGTTTCGTGTATATTAGGGTTTAGTGTTTCTTAAGAATATTAGGGTTTAGGGTTTAGGGTTTATACCTGCGTGTATCCTATAAGGAGCAATAGAGTGCCCAGTAAGATTCCTTATAGGCTTAATTGGTATAGTTTGCCCAGCTGATTCAAATTCATAAGAAGAAATTACTTCGTCTATTAAACAACCAATTTCTGATAAACGAGCGTCCACCCCAGCAGCACGTAACCCAACGTCCGTAGCCTCCTGTATACAAACCCTAAACCCTAAACCCTAAACCCTAAACCCTAAACCCTAAACCCTAAATTTTTTTTTTATTGTAAAATTTCGGATTTAAAACAAGAAATTTTATACACACAAGAGAGCGTGAACTCCTAAGATCAACAAATCTAACAACAACTCTAAACCCTAAACCCTAAACCCTAAACCCTAAACCCCTGACCTTTGTTGCATTAATAAGAGGATCAAATTTAGGGTCAAAGGCAATGGAGAAAGCGCAGTCAATAATTCGTCCGCGAACTTGAACACCAAAATCTAACTTGCATATATCCCCTGAATACACAAACCCTAAACCCTAAACCCTAAACCCTAAACTGACCAACATCGGAAACTACCGCCTCCTCCTCTTGACGCAATTGCTAAATTGTTGGAAACCCCAGAAAACCCTCATAAACCCCAATAAACGGTAGCAAACCCTCGTAAACCCTTGTAAACCCTAGTAAACCCTCGTAAACCCTAATAAACGGTAGCAAACCCTCGTAAACCCATGTAAACCCATGTAAACCCTCGTAAACCCTAATAAACCCTAATGAACCGTAAGAAATGCCCGTAAACCCTAGTGTAATAAATAAACCCTTGCCTTCTCCTAGTATCTTATCTTCTCCAGGGTTTGGTGTATAATGAGCAGCACATTCATTAATTGAGCAACCTGTAGGGAAACCCTTTCCTCTCTCTATCCCTTTTGCACCAATTAATTCTTCTGTCTTTCCCTCCAATTTTGTGCACAATTCTGTTAATGATAAGCCAGGCCTTAATAAACTTTGTGCATAACGACGGACCTATAAGGAGAAAAAAAAAATATATAAATAAATATATATATAAATATATATATTTATTATATTTATATTCTTTTATTTATTAGGGTTTAGGGTTTAGGGTTCTGGGATATGGGGATAGGGTTTAAGGGGTTGGGGTCTTGGTTAGGGTTTAGGGTTTTGGCTCATCATGCAGTTGCGCACGCAGAGATAAATACACAAAAAAAGAAAATAAAAAAGGACAATAAATAAATATATAAATAAAATTAAACAAAAAAAAACAAAATAAATAAATAAATAAATATAACAAGCAGACAAACAAACACAAATAAATACACACACAGTAAAAAATGGCTACAACAAACTCTGCTGGGGTAGCAAAATTAGGGTTTAGGGTTTAGGGTTTGCCTGTCTGTGACATTCTGCAGCTTCGCGTAAACCCTCGATGTCAACTTCTACGAGCCTCGCTGCCTCTCGTGCCTCCGCGTCTCGAGGAGGAGAGGCGTATGCCTGTACCTCCCCTGAAGCACCCAAACCCTAAACCCTAAACCCTAAACCCTAAACCCTAGACCACTACCAACGGTTCGGTGCAGTCAGTCCTAGCAAATGAGCTCAAAATGCACTGCTTACTCTAAACCCTAAACCCTAAACCCTGCACTGATACCTGAGATCTATCTAGATTCTACGTTACTAAACCCTAAACCCTAAACCCTAAACCCTAGATACCTGTAGGGAAAATTCCTGATGGGAAGATTTGCTGTATTGTTTTTGTTGCTGGTTCTGTTTGCTGCGAGGGTTTGACCTCCGGCCAGCTGCCTAGACACCGCAGACGGGAGTTGTCCTGTGCAGGAATATATCCTAGACTCTTTGCTGCTCCTGCTGTTGTTGTTGCTGCTCCTGCTGCTTCTCCTGCTTCTCCTGCTTCTCCTGCTGCTGCTGCTGCTGCTGCAGCTCCAGATCCACTCTTCTTCTTCTTCTTTTTCTTCTTCTTCTTTGCTGCTGCTGATGCTCCTGCTGCTCCTGCTGCATTGCCTTCTACATCTTCTTCTTGTGCTGCTGCACCACCATCACCGCATTCCTCATCTTCGCTCTCTATAGCTTCCTGAAGATACGCCCAAACCCTAAACCCTAAACCCTAAACCCTAGAGACAAGAGGTAAGAATCCTAAACCCTAGATATATATCCAGCGAAGTTATTACCTTCCGAGGCTCCACCTCTACATCCAGCCTCTTCTCCTCCTGCACCAAACTGCCCGGCATTTTGCTGCGTTTTTATAAGCAGCAGCAGCAGCACCGGCAGCAGCAACTGCAGCAGCAGCAATAGCTGAGTTGCTATGGCTGCAGGCGGCTTCGGGTGTACATACACCTAAGGATATTCCCCGTGTCGTCACGATAGCCAACAAACAAAGAGTCCTACACTTAATTCGTAAGGACTATTATGATTGTTGGTGTTGTTGCTGCTGTTGCTGCTGCTGCTGCTGCAGTATAGTGGGGCTGCAGCGGCTGCTGCTGCAGCGTTGAGCAGCAGCAGCAGCAGCAGCAACACGAAGACCGTAGGGCAAAGGATGCGCTCCTTAACCCTGTCTGTGTTATTATTTGTTTTTGCATATTTATTAGCTTGTGGGGTCTTCCGCTGTTGCAGCGGCTCAACTCCGATAGTTCCAGCAGCAGCAGCAGCAGCAGCAACAGCAGCAGCAGCTGCTGCAGATCCGGCAGCGTTACTGCATACAAACCAACTTGCTGCAGCAGCAGCAACACACACAACTCTCAGTATATCATATTAATAACTATTTGCTAAAAATACAGCAGACAGCGCTAACAACTGCAGCGGTAACAACAGCAGCAGCAGCAACAGCAGCAACAGCAGCAACAGCAGCAACAGCAGCAACAGCAGCAGCAGGTACAGCTACTGCCGTGCTAGCAATACTGCAGTAGCGGCAGCAGCGACAGCAGTAACAATCACACAGGAGAGGCAGCTACACCTAGAGCATCAGCAGCAGCAGCAACAGCAGCACGAGCAACAACACCAGCAGCAACTAATAGTCGCTACTATTATAATATACTGTATACACACTGACTCGCAGCAGCAGTTACAGCAGCTGATGCTGCTGCTGCTGCCGCTGCTGCTGCTGCTGCTGCAGAAGCCTACAGCCGGACTGTCCACTATATGATTCTTCGGAGGCAACAACAACACCAGCAGCAAACACAGGAGGAGCAGCAGCAGCTGCAGCAGCAGCTGCAGCGGCGCAATGAGCTCTGTATACCCGGCTCCCCCTGCTTCTGTCAACAGCAGCAGCAGCAGCAAAGCGGCCGGAGGAGCAGCAGCCGGAAATAATGGGGAGCCAGTGGTTGTTGTCCGGTGAGTCAGGGTTTATTGTATAGGGTTTAGGGTTTAGGGTTTAGGGTTTAGGGTTTAGGGTTTAGGGTTTGGATTTCCTCTAAGGGAATAAAAAGATTGAAATATTCCTAGAAGGTGTTTTATACCAAACATTTAACACAAATATATAGACGTCAGTTACTATCTTATATACGGTCTAGGGTTTAGGGTTTAGGGTTTAGAGTTTAGGGTTTAGGGTTTAGGGTTTGTAATTCAGGCGGGATTTCCACTCCGCGGAAGCCCGTCGACGGTCTCGAGCTCACACTTTCTTTGGTCAGAGAAACCTTGGAGAATTTGGCTCCTTTGTGTATCTGGTTAATCAAATCTTTGGCGCCAGTAAACCCTAAACCCTAAACCCTAATCTTAAACCCTAACCCTAAACCCTAACCCTAAACCCTAGAGAAGGTGGTGACGGATGGCTCGCCAAGCCAAACCCTGAAGGAAACTTCAAGAAAGATGAAGGGGATGTGCATTAGATACCAAACAGACTTGTATAAACACTTGCTAAGGGTTTAGGGTTTAGGGTTTAGGGTTTAGGGTTTGGGTGTATTGCAGGTTTGGTAGCAGTTCCTCTAGTGTTTAGAAGCGCGGGTTTGGTGCCCGCAACAGCAGCAAATCTTTTTGTTTGCTGCAGCAGCGCGATTGCCTCCTTGATGCTTCTTCGTTGCATGCAACTTGTCCACGTAAACCCTAAACCCTAAACCCTAAACCCTAGGCCAACAAAGAACCCTGAATGACGAGCAGCATTGATGACCCCGTAAATATAACCGAAGAAGAATGCTTCAAGGGTCTAGTATGATTTAGCCTTTAGGGTTTAAACATCAGGGTTTAGGGTTTAGGGTTTAGGGTTTAGGGTTTGGGTATTTGTTACAGGGAAATAGCTGCTTTCAGAAGCGCATAGAGTATGCAGCATGTGTGTCCTACTTCCTTGGCAAACATAAGGCAGGCCTTGTGCAGGTAAACCCTAAACCCTAAACACTAAACCCTAATAGCCTAAACCCTAATTTGGGGAATCTTATTGACAGTGGTTTGTAGGGTTTTATACAAATCCCTAATCGTTGTAGAAGAATCTCTCTATGCACCCAACATCAACCCCCAAAACCCCAAACCCTAAACCCTAAACCCTAAACCCTAAACCCTTGTGAGTGTTTACAGCTCTGTCTATACATCGCCATGCAAGGAATGTGCGCAATTTCAATTGTTGTTGTTAGCCAAGCGTCAGATCAATTGCTGCTCTTCTCCTTTGGCAAGACAGCAGGTACAAACCCTCTGTAAACCCTAAACCCTAAACCCTAAACCCTAAAAACCCTCGATATAAACAATCATGCCACAATCTTCACTAAAACAACTCCCAGTTGCCGCATGCCCAATGCCACACGCTGCTGCTGCTCCTGCTGCTGCTATTGCTGCTGCTGCTGCTGCAGTAGCTACGCCTGTATCGATCCTTTTGTGTCTCTAGTTCCACGCTTGTTGATACTTTGGGCTGTCGCTACGGCCCGTTTTAGGGTTTAGGGTTTAGGGTTTAGTGTTTAGGGTTTGTGGTGTATTTGCAGGGATTGAGGTGTATCCGCAGCTGCGTTTGCGTGTTTACGACGCTGCTGAGTATGCAGCATTCTCTGGTTTATCCTTACCATGGAGTGACCCTGACAGTCCTGCTGCTGCTGCTGCAGCAGCAGCAGCAGCAGAGATGACAGTTACATGCGGATATCTACTTTGTGCTGCTTGCTGCATCCCTCTATCCAGCAGCAGCATGGAGGAGAATATGACTATTCAATTTGCTTCCTTTTTCTTCCTGCTGCTGTCCATTGTTGTTATGATGGCAGCAGCAGCTTGGCGTATAGTTGGTTATGCAGCTGGTGAGACACCTGTTGCTGCAGCAGCAGCAGCAGCTGCTGCTGCTGCTGCTGCGGTACCAGTTGATGGCACTTCTTGGATGCAGCAGCAGCAACAGATGTCCTATAGCCCACAAAACGCATCTCTAGCAGCAGCAGCGAGTCCTACGGTGTCGCAGCACGAAGCTGCTGCTGCTGCTGTTGCTGCAGCAGCATTAGCTGCTGCTGCTGCTGCAGTTCCCCGTGTGTTTAAGTCACCAAATTCAGCAGCAGCAGCAGCAGTAGCAGCAGCAGCAAATAGTTGGGGACTCCCTATAGAGCCGCTCTCTGACGCTACAGCTTCTCTTGAGTCCTCTTTGCTGAAAAACAGCAGCAGCAGCAGCAGCAGCAGCGGCAGCAGCAGCGGCAGCAGCAAAAGGCTGCTGCATCATTTGCTGCGGGAGGCCTCAAAAGACGCCGACCTTATCAGTGCGAACAGCAGCAGCAGCAGCAACAGCAGCAGCGGCAGCGGCAAAGGTAAGGCCCCCATTGTTACAGAAGACCCCAGTGAGGTCCCTCCCAAGACCAACAGCGGCAATAGCAGGAGCTGCAACAGCAGCAGCAGCAGCAGCTGCTGCAACGGCAACAGCAGCAGCAACAGCAGCAGCAGCAGCAGCAGCAGCAGCAGCAGCAGCAGCAGCCCATTAGAGGATTTACCTCCTGGTTTCCCCCCTTTATGGGGACAACAAAACTTTATGCAGGTATTCTCTACCTTTATAGCTAGTTATGCATATGTTACTGTTGTACCTTGTTGGGCTAATGAGATGAAACTCAATGTCAAGGTACATAAACCCTAAACCCTAAACCCTCGTAAACCCTGATAAACCCTAATACACCCTCAGCAACCCTAGGAAACCCTAAACAACCATTTTAAGCCCCTACACAATACTCTAAACCCTTTTCTCTGTTTAGGCTGACGCAGGCGCAATCACAGGCAGACACTGGACCGAGCTGTCAGCTCCTGCGCATTGCAAGGGTTTAGGGTTTAGGGTTTAGGGTTTGTGCGCAGATCGAAAGGGCGATATGGAGGAGCACAAGCTTTTGCGGCCTCACTTATTTCTTATTTGGCCTCCTCCTTGCAGCGGCCTATCCTGCTGTTTCTTCAGATAATATCCTGCAGGTACGTAAACCCTAAACCCTAGTGGCCTATCCGGTGTTTATGCACTGTCTTAGGGGGCCGAATTAGCTGCAGGGGTCTTACAACATTTTCTATACCCTTTCCACTATCCTGTGAGGGGTTTAGGGTTTGGGGTTTATTGCTTGGGGGTGCCGTCGGCTGTATATGCTAATCTTAGGGTTTAGGGTTTAGGGTTTGTGTATACAGGAGATGCTCGCTTCAAGTGACACGCCAGTGTTCGCCCAGGTTGCCATTTTCGCCTTTGACCTGTTCACGATTTTACCTGGTAGGGTTTAGGGTTTAGGGTTTAGGGTTTAGGGTTTGGGTCATCTTAAGAGTACATTTCCCTCCGCGTGCCTAAACAGGGTTTAGGGTTTAGGGTTTAGGGTTTGCGTGTATGCATGCGTGCACCTCAGGCATTCTTGTATACTGCATAGCGACGCGGTATAATTTAGTTAACAGTGGCGTCTGCAGCAAAAGAGTCGCTTTTTGGGTAGGGGCTGTTGCTCCCTTCATGGGATCCTGGACCCTTATGAATGCTCAATCTACAGCAGGTAGGGTTTAGGGTTTAGGGTTTGGGGTTTAGACGCCACGGTCAAGGGCGCAGTGCAGCTATCGGTAGAGGTCACCATCGGAATACCCTTCCTCGGCTAAAAAGAAGGTAGAGCTTTGAGGCTAATTTTTAGGGTTTAGGGTTTAGGGTTTAGGGTTTAGGGTTTAGGGTTTAGGGTTTGTGTATTTCAGATGTATTGACATGGACGTCCTTGTTTTTTTCTCTGATTTGCAACTTCGTCGCGCCTTTTGTAATTTATCTTCGGGCATGCGAGAAGCTGCCGGTTGAAGCACCACGTAAACCCTAAACCCTAAACCCTTTTATCTACACACTAAACACTAAACCCTAATCATAAACCCTGACACCATACTCATATTATTCCTTACAATAACTGTATGTCATATAGTGTTAGCTCTAGCTTGCAGCAAACCCTAAATGTGTTAGCCTTGTGCGTATGCTCCCCACACGGCATCAGGGTTTAGGGTTTAGGGTTTAGTTAGGGTTTGGGATTTGTTGCGTCGCAGGGGAGAAGCAAGTTGTCCTGTTTAGCCCTAACGTTCGCCATAATGTGCAAGGAGTAAGGGTTTAGGGTTTAGGGTTTCGGTTCCCAGCTAGTGGATTTGTTTACCTGACGCGCACGCCTGGTGCAACGAAAAGGAATTAGGGTTTAGGGTTTAGGGTTTGTGCGCAGGAATTGCGAGACCCCGATGCCATCCGGCTGTCGTTGCTGCAATGGTTGCAAGCAACATTCAAGGACGAGGCAAGAGCAAGGGAGGCGGATCCCCAGTTGCTGCATTTGCTGCTGCAGCCATCATCAGCAGCAGCAAATGCAGATCAACAAAGCAGCAGCGCCCATACAGCAGCAGAAAAGAAACGCATGCTGACGCAGCAGGAAGCAGCAACAACAGTTATTGCTGCTGCTGCACTCCAGCTGCAAGAACCGGGACTTAGCAAAAGTATGCTGCTGCTGCTGTTGCTGTTGCTGCTGCTGGCTCTGCTGTTGCTGTGGATACTGCTGCTGCTCGTATTGATGTTGCTGTTGTTGACTGAATTTCGTCTGTTAACCCTTGCTGCTGCGTACAATGTCTTTCTTGTGTTTGCTGCTGTTGCTGCTGCTGCTGCTGTTGCTGCTGCAGCATTCAGCCGCCTGTTTGGGGGTTCTCCTTCTTACCATTCGGAGACATCCTTGCACACGCCGGAGCAGCAGACGTTGCTGTCAGCAGAGCTGGGTGCTGCTCATGTTACGGCAGCAGCAGCAGCAGCAGCAGCTAGCTCGGATGGTGGCACCAGCAGCTTACAGCAGCAGCTGCTGCGGCATGACAGCTTGGGGCCGCTGCGGGGGTCACCTGCAGCAGCAGGAGATCATTCGCATGTGTGTTCGCCGTCTCCTCCCTTGTCTCCTTTACAGCTACAGCAGCAGCTGCAGCAGCAACTACAGCAGCAGCAGCAGCAACAAGGGTGGCGGATCGTACAGCCAGAACGCACAACAGCAGCGACAGCAGCAGCAGCAGCTGCTGCTGCTGCTGCTGCAGCAGCAGATGAGAACACAGAAGCAGAAGTTGCCGATTTATCAACAGATCTTGATGATGTTGCTGCCTCCCTTAAGGTGCAGCAGCATTTGCCTGATTTGCTGCTGCGGCAAGCAGATAGAATAGATCGTAATGCTTGGATAGCGGATCTGCCAGCTCTATTAGGCACAAACCAGCAGCAGCAACAGCAACAGCAGCAGCGGCAGCGGCACAGACCAGCGCTGCTGCAGGAACCACCACGGGGACATCTTATGCACCCTAGACAAATAACACTACCTCCGTATACACCTGGAGGAGACACACCATCTGTTGCTGTAACCCCAGCTGCAGCAGCAGATGCTGCTGCAGAGGAAACCTCTGCTGCTGGTGCAGAGACACAACAGGAGAAGCAAATAGACGCAAAAGGAGACACTGACAGAGACAGCGGCTTGAGTAGGCACACCAGCACAGAGTTGCCCTCTGTTGCTGCTGCTGCTGGTGATTCTCCAGGTGCACCGGCTGCTGCGGCGGCTGCAGCTGAGGGGGGCGATACGGGAGCAGCAAGCGAGGGCTCAAGAGGAACGCTTGAACGCATGCGCAGCAGCGGCAGCGCCCGCAGCAGCAGCAGCGGCAGCAGCGGAGTGTTTGATGAGTGTTTAGTGCATGCAAACACATTTCCCCACATGACGAGCAGCAAACGCAGCAGCAACCGCACCAGCAGCAGCAGCAGCGGAGGAGCTGGTGGGGAATTTTCTAATAGTAATCGTTTATCTTTGCCTGCTGGTGGGTCTCCTGTCTCCTTGCTGCTGAGCCCTAATCAGCAGCAGCAGCAGCAGCAAAAGAAACTATTAGATGTTGATATGACGGAGCTGTCTCTTGGCCTTGGACGAAGAGCAGCAGATCTTGTTCGTAGGATGCGCAACTGCAACAGCAGCAGCAGCAGCAGCAGCAACGGTGCAGCACGCACGGAGGAGGAGCGGCTAGCTACTGCTGCTGTAGATGAGGTTGAGGCAACAGCTCTGCTGCTGCGGCAGCTCAGAGAGGCGCAGCAGCAAGGTAATGATGTACGCGTACATTTGCTGCTGCAGCAAGCAGCTAAAGCTGCTGCTGCTGCTGCTAATAACAACGGCAGCAGCAGCAGCAGCGGCTTCCCAATTATCCATCCCTCTAAACGAAACTCGTGGGGATATCTTGTGAGTCCGGTAGTCCATTAGGGTTTGGGGGTTTAGGGTTTAGGGTTTAGGGTTTATAGTGTATGGTTTAGGGCTTGCGGGTTAGGGTTTTGGTGGTTGGTGGATGCCGAGCAGGCTGTAGAGATTTCGGAATTAGGGTTTAGGGGTTGAGCGGTTGGCTCAGAAAACAGGAGTTTAGGGTTTAGGGTTTAGGGTTTAGGGTTTGTGTGTTCGCGCAGAGTCTGCCGCAGGGTTTGCTGCCTCGGTTAAAGAGATCGGAGACGTTGAAGAACATTGGTACATTTGTGCTGCATCCGCTGAGGAGACAGACAACAGGCAAGTGTTTAAGTGTTTAGTGTTTAGGGTTTAGGGTTTAGGGTTTACGTGGTTGCATATTAGGAATACACGCCGTTGTTGGTGATGGCGCTTACGTGGCTAGAGTCTAGGGTTTAGGGTTTAGGGTTTAGTGTTTTGGGTTGCTGCAGCGCCTGTTGAATTGGAGGCCGCCAACAGCCCCCACTGGCGAAGTATCCGCAACTTTGATCATCAGCAGCATCCGCTGCTGCAGCAGCAGGAGGGTCCGCTGCAGCAGCAGGAGCAGCCGCTGCTGCAGCAGCAAAGAAGGAGGAGTCTCTCCGTCAAAGTAGCAGAGGAGGGCATGAGGGGCAGCAGCAGCCCTTGCGATAACCACTCTACGGACGCATATGAAACAAGAAGCAGCAGCAGCAGCAGCAGCAGCAGCAGCAGTAGTAGTAGTAGTGTACCGAGAGGCAGCAGCAGTAGTACGTGGGTGAGCATCAGTGTACCTGAGGTCGTTGCCCACGATGAAGGCCAACAGCAACAGCAGCAGCAACAGCAGCAGCAGCAACAGCAGCAGCAGCAGCAGCAAACCGATTTGAGCAGTTCGGCCGCTGAAGCTAAGGACAAAGATGCTGCACTATCTACGCCTGCAGCAGCGGATTCCTTGACAGCTCCAGCAGCAGCAGCAGCAACAGCAGCAGCAGAATCCCCAGCAAGTTCTGCAGGTCCTGCTGCTGCTCGAGACAGGAGGAAGCAACGCTTCCGTACACTTACGCTGTCTCCTCCGTCTCCCTCCAGGCGCAGCAGCCCACGTCTTGTAGCCAGGCATCAGCAGCAGCAGCAGCAAAAGCAGCAGCAGCAGCAGCAGCAGCAGCAAACGGCGCATGCAGATCGTGTAGCTCACGGGAGACGCAAATTTAAGACAGCTGCCTATTTGCCGAAGAAGAAGGACCAGCTGCCATCACCGAAAGCAGCTGCTGCTGCAGCAAAAGCAGGTGCTGCTGCTGCTGGAGGTGCTGCTGCTGCTGCAGGTGCAGGGGACTCATCGGAGTCTCTTTTTGCCTACAGAGACATCGATCAGCGCGATGCGCATCCAACAGAAGTGCTGCCTACAATTCAGGTAATTGCTGCACAAATTAGCTAGCTAGCTAGCTAGCTAGCTAGCTAGCTAGCTATCTAGTTGCAGGTAGTTGCTGTCCCGCAGTAGTCTCCTTGTATGCTACAAAAATGGTTGGGGTTCCCCTATGCTGCTGGTGCTGCTGCTGCTGCTTATGCTGTTGCTGTTGCTGCTGCTGCTGCTGCTGCTGCTGCTGCAGGTAACGTACGCGGAGAGGACCCCAGCAGAAGAAGTATGGGGTTATAATGGTGGTATAAATTTACCACATGTACGTGTGTTTAGTAATCCATGGCTAAAACAAAATCATTTATTATTAACAAAAGCATTATTAGGTACACTTGTATCTTTTGCTATTGCATCTGTATTAATGCATATATTCTAATTATATTTATTTATTTATTTGCTGCTGATGCTGTTGCTGCTGATACTGCTGCAGCAGCAGCAACAGCAACACAAACAACAACAGTATTAGCAAATACATTATTAGGTACACTTGTATCTTTTCCTTTTGCATCTGTATTTATGCATATATATATTCTAATTATATTTATTTGCTGCTGCTGTTGCTGCTGCTACTGTAGCAGCAACAGCAACAGCAACAGCAGTAATAGTTGTAGTAGTTGGAGCAGTAGGTGATGCTGCTCATGCTGCTGTATTAGACTGCTGTTGTTTGGTTAACGTATGCAGTAGCTGCATCGTGCTGCTGCTGCTGTTGCAGCAGGGTTTGCATGCATGTTGGGGCTGGCAGAAAAAGATTCTCTCTTTTTGTCTTCCCTTGCATGCGCTCATCTTCGCGATAGAGCTGCTGCTGCAGAAAGCTGGTGCACTTGCTGCTTTTGCTGCAGTGACTGCTGCAGTTGCTGCCTTTACTGCAGCATCTGCTGCAGTTGCTGCTTTTGCTGCAGCGCAGCTGTTTGTACACCGAATCAGCTTCTTCCATTTAGAGGAGGCATTCATTAAGTGTAGAGAGGGTCTCCAAGAGGGAGAAAAGGAGACAAAAAGAGACACAAAGAGATAGAAGGGGGCATAGGAAGATAAAAAAGGGATAGATATAACAGATGGAGACAGCAGCAGAAGCGAGACACGGAGACGGACACAGGAATAGAGGTCACTTGTAGCAGCCTCTAAACTTTCAGGGCATACGGTTTAGGGTTTAGGGTTTGGGCCTTTAGGATTGATTACTGTAGTCAGCCTGGATTAAGAAGAGTGCAGGGTTTAGGGTTTAGGGTTTGGGGCTTGACGCGCACGGACTGAAACACCAATGGTATCCTGAAGGTTTAAGGTTTTTCTTGGGGGATTGGGAGGGATAAGTGTTTATCGTTATTTTTACGACCTGTGGTTTGCAATTTTCAGGTATTATTGTTTAGTGTTTAGCGTGTAGGGTTTAGGGTTTAGGGTTTGCTGTGTCGGCTGCTGCCTCGATGGAGATCTGCAACGGCGGCGGCAGGCACAACAAGCAGACTAGGCAGCTGGAGTTGTTGTCTCCTTCCTCTATTTGTTCTAATCAAGCGTTTATGCTTTAGGGTTTAGGAATCAATGTTCAGGATTTAGGAATTAGGGTTTAGGGTTTAGGGTTTACAGTGTTCCTCACATTGTGGCCCCCGGGTCACCTGCGCACCCGCGGGGCCCTGAGCCCTTCTTGGGTATATATTTGCTTTTTATTTAGGATTGTTTATAGTTGCATTAGAAAGTTATTTAATGTATTGTTCTAACTGTATTCAGACAGGCCGGGGGATCAGGGTTTAGGGTTTCGGGTTTAGTACATTGTTGTAGAGCAGCTCTCCTCCGACCGCGGGATGCCGGATTACGTCAGATGCAGCAACCGATAAACGCTAAACCCTAAACCCTAATATTTTCTGCTCCTTTATGCTTCCTTTTACACGGCTCAATTTCTGAATGGCAGGAACTTCAGCGGTTACCGCCTAGGGTTTAGGGTTTAGTGTTTAGAGTTTAAGGTCGAAGTGTCAAGATGGAAGGGAGTGAAGGAAGTGAACTATGGGTGTTGGTAAGCATTGTTCGCTGCTGTTGTTATGTAAACAAGTGTTTAGAGTCTATCCTATGGTTTACGGTAGTTAATAGATCAGGGTTTCCACCAGATAATTAGGGTTTAGGGTTTACTGTCTGCAGGTACAAGAGCCCCCCATACCCTCTGGTGCTGCTGATACCTATAATGGCGACAATGAGCTGCGGCGCGAAGAAGCAGTACGCGTTGTTTCTAGTGTTACATTGTTGAAAGTCTTTCAAACATCTATCAGGGCGCTGGAGCTGATGCAGCAGCAGCAGCAGCTACAACAACAACAGCAACAGCAGCAACAACAACAGCAGCAGCAGCAACAGCAGCAGCAGCTACAACAACAACAGCAATTGGGCATATACCTCTCGCAAGCAGCTTCAGGAAGCAGCCCGACACACAGGTCACACGAGCAGCACCAGCACAGTCAACATAGCTCTGCTGCAGCAGCAGCAAATCCAGGTGCAGCTGGTGTTGCTCCAATTGCTGTTGCCCTTCCTGCTGCTGCTGGCGCACATACTGCAGCAGGCCTATCACCACATCGACAACCACCAGCAGCAACAGCTGCAACAGCAGCAACAGGAGGAGGAGGAGCAGCAGCAACAAGCCACACTTCAAGGCATTGGGGGTCCCATGGAGGTAGAGGTACTCCGCTGCACACGACTTCTTTGTTGCGTTCTCTTGAGAATAGTGTGGCAGAAAAGGTTAAGTCCTTCTTTCAGAGGCCCAGCCAACAGCAGCAACAGCAGCAGCCGCAGCAGCATTCTCGTCTTCGGCAGGTACTGGCTGGCTCTCCAGGGCCGTTGGCCTTTGGCGGTGTCGTCGCTCCTCCTAGGGTACCACCAGATCCAAGAGTAGCAGCGCAGCAGCACCAATATCAGCTGATGCAGCAGCAGAGGATTGCTGCAGCACGAGCAGCAGCAGCAGCAAGAGCAGCAGCACGCAGACGCCACTTTGTACGCTCTGCAGCAAAAGATTCTATAGATGCTGACGAAGGAACGCTCGCGCTGCATCTGTCCCCCGAGGCAGAAGCAGCACTGTCAGCAGCAACTGCTGCTGCAGCTAACTTAGAAGGCAACACGGAGGACCCTGTTGATGTTGATGATAAACTTTGTGCTGCATCAGCAGCTACTGCTGCTGCTGCTGCTGGGCGTGTTGTATCTATCGCATCCACGGGAGACTTGAGTCTTCGCTTCCTAGTTGAAACTTTTAAACCAGCAGCAGCAGCAGCAGCAGCAGTAACAGCAGCAGCAACAGCAGATGCAGAGCACCAGAACTGGCATGTGCAGACCCTCGAGTTTCCATTAGACAAACTCTTTAGTCAACGTGCGTTTTATCTCTGTTTGCTGCTGCTGCTGCTGCATTTACCGTTGTTGGTGCTGCTGCAGCCGCCGTTGCTGCTCCTGCTGGTACTTCTGATTCTTCTGCTGCTACTGCCCTTAGCCTTCCCTTTGTTGCAGTGCCTTTTTTTCTGTCTCTACAGCTGATACTGCTTCCGTTCTTGTTGTGGCTTTATATGGTGCTGCTTCTGCTGCAGCAGCAGCTGCTGCTGCTGCAGTTGTTTCCGACGTTGACTGTCGCTGTTGCTGCTGTTGCTACAGCCGTTGCACTTCCCCTCACTGATGTTTAGCTGCTGCAAAGCATCCAGAGTTGTCGCTGCAGCAGCAACAACAGCAGCAGCTGCAGCAGCTGCAGCAGGTGCTGCAACAGCTGCAGGCGCTGCAGCTGATGCAGCAGCTGCTGCTGCTGTTGCTGTGCGTGTGTCTGTGTACAGCTGGTAGTTTGCCCTTGGTGTCCCCTGCTGCACCAGCAGACGGAGACAGCCTCAAGCCCTCCAAGGGATTTTTTGAGTGGGCGCTGCAGCGGGTGCTGCAGCTGTTGATGCCGCGCACTCCAAGAGGTACAAAGGGAGGAGCGCAGAAGAAGCAGCAAAAAGAGGAGCACAAGCAGCAGCAGCAGCAGCAACAGCAGCAGGAGCAGAAACAACAACAAGCTCAACAGGGAGTTGAGGAACAAGACGGCAATTGCCCACCAAGTTCTCCTCGGTCCCCGGGCACTGACAACAGCAGCAGCAATATTGACAGCAACAATAACAACAACAACAACAACAGCAGCAGCAGTAGCGGCCCGAGTTTACACCAACGCATGCATGAATCTTTATACGAGGCTTTAAAAACGCATGCAGAGAAGCCATCGGGGTGTCTGTGCGTTGTTGAATTTCTTTCTGCTGCTGCTGCTGCTGACGGATCGATCTTAGATGGAAACGGAAGTCAGCAGCACAAGCATGTTGCTGCTGCTGCTGCTGCTGCAGTGGTTGCTGTTGCTGTTCCTGCTACTGCGATGAGTCCTTTTGTGATCTGCTTTTGTTGCTGTTGCTGCTGCTGCTGTTGGCTTTCCGGTGTCTGCTGCACGTGCTGTTGCGGCTCTTGCTGCTGCCGCTGCTTTTGTTGCTGTTGCTTGCTGTTGTTCTTGTTGCTGCTTCGGTTGTTCGTCCTGCTGTTGCGTGTGCTGCTGTGTATCCTCCCCATGCGCATCTACATGCAAAGGTGCTGTTGCTGTCTTTGTTTTGTACAACAGATACAGCTGCAGCGCATGCATCTATCCTTAATGTCCTTTCCCTGCTGCTGCCGCGGGAAACAGCAGCAATAAAAAGCAGCAGCAAAGGCCGCAGCAGAAGAGAGAGTGACACCGCATTCTTCACGGAGCTCAGCAGCTGCTGCAGCACCATCACAACCTTTAGCAGGTGCAGCAGCAGTAACAACAACGACAGTGACACAGAAGACCAGCAAACCAGTGCTGCAGCAGAAGACACGCCATCTGCACCGTCAGCAGCTAGTGCAGCAGCAGATGCACCCTCTGCACCGCCTGCTACTGGAGCAGCAGATGCAACTGCTGCACCAGCTGCTGCTGCAGCAGCTGATGGATCCAAAGACAGCACCGACCCCCCCAAGGAAGAACCCAAACCCCCGAAACTTCTTGGGGTGTCTATTGGCTGTCTACAAATCAAGAACAAAACCATCAGGCAATCCTAAACCCTAAACCCTAAACCCGGAATTGTCAAACGCCATCGTGATTCCTGACGTGAATTGGAGACTAGGGTTTAGGGTTTAGGGTTTAGGATTTATAGTTTTTGGATCTGTCTGTGTGCCTCTCAGGGATCTGCTGGCCCTTCCGCGTTGCTGGCAGCACGCGGCCCAGCAGCAGCAGCAGCAGGAGGAACGGGGGTTTGCTGATGACTGTTTCTCTGGGGATGTAGGCAGCAACCGCAAAGGAGACAATAGGAGACTCTTGGAGACACCCAACAGTCTCCGATTGCCTTGGGAAATGTCCTACGGCGAGCCTAAGGGGTCCTGCCAGTGCTGCTACGCTGCCTTCCGTTGCTTCTGCAGCAGCAGCAGCAGCAGTTACGAGACCAGCGCAATATGCTGCAGCCTGTCCTCACCTGCAGTGGAGCTCAACTCCTTTGCTGCTGCTGCTGAACCCCATACACGCAGCTACCTGCAGCTGCTGCAGCACCCAACACTTGGTCTCTTGCTGCCCCATGATATGGCAAGCGACAGGTTCCTGCTGCTGCTGCTGCTGTTGCTGCAGTTGTGTTTTATAATCTGGATTGATAGCACTTGAAAGTTTGGTGCTGCTCTCTGTGCTGCTATTCCATCTTCCGCTGCTGCTGCTGCTGCTGCTGCCGCAGCAGCTGTTGCTCCTGGTCGTTCGGTGTACCCGTTAGGATTCCGTCCTTCGCTGATGCTCTTCTTGCTGCGGCTGCTGCTTAGGTAAAGGTTCAGAGTGTGGAGGAAGCACGCTTGCTGCTCGATTACGTTCGGCACCTCAGGTGCCTCCAAGGAAGCAGGGGGCCCCTAGGGGGCCCTGGCATGTGTGAGGGGCCCCACTACATCTACTTGATCAGGACAGCGTGGGTGTGTCGCAGCAACACCAGCAACAGCAGCACAAGCAGCAACAGCAGCAACAGCTGCAGCACTTGCTAGACTAACTGTGCATGCAGTGTCTGTGCAGGGTTTAGAAGACGGCACCGTTACTTACAACGACATCCGTTACTGTCTCCTCGCCCCCCCCACGCTGCTTCATATGGCTCCTAAAGAACAGCAGCAGGAACAACAAGAGCAGCAGCAGCAACGGCAGCAACAGCAACAGAAGGGAGCTGAGGCAGAGGAAGAGGCAATCTGGATGAAGTCTCCGTGGAAAGAGGTGAAATAAGTGTGGATATATGCACTTAAATTCAAACCCTAAACCCTAAACCCTAAACCCTAAACCCTAAACCTTTAAAGCGCTGTTTGCGATCTATCGCTTGGGTCTTACTGCTCTTTGTATGGTTTGGGGCTTGTTACTGGCGAGAACCATGTCTTGGGGTGTAGGGTTTAGGGTTTGATGTCTAGGGTTTAGGGTTTAGTTCCGTGTCTGCTTCGATCAGACGCTGAGTATCTTCCAACACCCATCATCAGCAGAAGCAGAAAAGGATACAACAGCAACAGAAGCAACAGCAGCAGCAACAGATGCTGTTGCTGACGAGAGCTGCGGCAGTAGTAAACTTGGGTTGCTACTGCGCCTGCTGCTTGAAGAAGCAACGCAGACTATTGTATCGGACCCTAAACCCTAAACCCTAAACCCTGAAGGGAGGTCTCTGCAAGACAGAGGAATAAAGGAAATACGTACTGTACCTCCCCAGGCTGGACGAAACTGCTGTTGCTGCTGTTGCTGCTGCTGCTGCTTCTTTGCTGCAGTTTCTGACTAGCATAAGCTCTCCTGATAGCCTTGAGGATTCTCTTTTATCTCTGCAAGCAGCAAAAACCCTCAAAGAGTTCTGCATGCGGTCCAAGTAGGTTGTGGTTTTGCTGTTGTTGTTGTTGCTGCTGCTGCTGATTTGCTACTGTTGCGCTGCTGCTCGTGGTGTTTTCTAGTGGTGCTGGTGTTGTGCTTCTGTGCTGCTGCATGTCTGTTGCTGCTGCTGTAATTCTGTTGCTGCTGCTGCTGTGGACGACAGCTGCAATTGGCTATTATTGTGCTGCGCTTATCTGGAGGAATTCGCAACGCATGCAGTCAAAAAGTACAGCAGCAGCAAAAGCCGCAAGACTCGTCTTGGAAGCCTTCACCCAGCAGGAGGAGGAGCAGCAACAGCAACAGCAACAGCAACAGCAACAGCAACAGCAGCAACACCATGCAAGAGATAGACTCCTAGTCGGTTACTCTCCCGGTAGAACACTGTGATGGGAAAGACCGAGTTTAATGGTTTAGAGAGAGCATGTAGCAGCCGGTTCCTCCCTTAATATACCACCTAGGGTTTAGGGTTTAGGGTTTAGGGTTTGTTGCGCTTGCGTCCAGCCGGAGGTGTTGGACCGGCTGCGAGCCGCTTCAGCCTTGGCCTCTCCGCTGTCTCTTCCTTCTTTGCTGCTGGAGGGGAATAATTCAGTAATAGTACACAGCTCCAATGGACAGGAGCAAACAAAAGATGATGGAGGAAAGGAAGCAGAACAGCAGCAGCAACAACAACAGCAGCAACAGCAGGGACAGGAGAAGGAGGGGACAGATACAAGCGGCAGCAGCAGCAGCAGCAGCAACGATGATGGGGAGATTGACGAGATGCAAACAGCAAAGCACGCTCTTTTGCTGCTGCAACAGCAGCACCCGAGTTGCTGCTTGCTGTGGACGCCTGCTGCTGCAGCAACAGCAGCAGCAATGCAGCGACTCTCACAAGCTTTGAAAGGCCTCAACCTAGTGAAGGCCCCTCAGCCGCAGACCTGCAACAGCACCGACAACGACAGCAGCAACAGCAGCAGCAACAGCAGCAGCAACAGCAGCAGCAGGGGTACTGCAGCTAACCGGCGCAGCAGCTGCCCTTCACGGTTTTGTGACGACGAAGGGTTTAGTGGTCGGCGGTTAACATTTGAAAAGCCCGAATTTCATGTAGAAATCCTAGGAGGCGTAAACCCTAAACCCTAAACCCTAAACCCTTATCTGTTTCTTACGATGGGCTTATCCACAAGAAACAGAACCGGAAATATACCCCACGAATTGTTGCTGCTGTTGCTGCTGGCACGCGCCGTTGCTGGTGTTACAGGAATTGTATGTGCTTATTTTGTGGCACTATTGCTGTATTGCATCTGTTTTAGCTACTGCTGCATCAGCTGCTGCTGCTGCTGCTGCTGCAGTGTTTGTGTATTCAATGCTTGTGTGTTTTTCTGCTGCAGCTAAACTCTCCCCCTTCTTTTTATTGTTTGCCGTCAGCTTCACGGCGTGCGCGTTTGCGTATTGCGCATGCATCCCCAGCAGCAGAAGGGGGAGGAGCAACCGCAGCAAGAGTAGTAGAAGCAACAGATTTATTGCATCAAGATCATTTTTTTGTTGGTGCTGCTGAGGATTTTTGCCAAGTTTGTTTCTGTCTCCCCTCTTCTCCTTTTCTTGGGGTGTCTCTGCATGCACATCGTCATGGTACACGCATGCACCCTAAGCCTTGTGTATCAGCAACATGTCTCTTTGGTGACCCAACAGCATCACCTGCTGCTGCTGTAGCTGCTGCTGCTGAAGCAGGAGTCAGGTATGCTGCTGCTGTTGCTGCTGCGCAAGCAGCAGGCGTCAAAAATCCTGCAATTACTGCTGCTGCTGCAGACAGCAGGATGCTTGGATGCTCCTTAACAGCAGCAATACTGTTAGCAAACATAACAGATAGACACGATGTCAAGCCACCGCAGCAGCAGCTGCTGCTGCAGCTGCAGCAGCAACAACATCCACAACAGCATCAACTGCAGCTACCACAGCACGAAAACCAGCAACAACAACAACAACAGGAACAACAGCAGCAACTGCAACAACAGCAACAGCAACAGCAACAGCAACAACAGGAGCAGAAAGAACATAACCAGCAGAAGCAACAAGAAGCAACCGAGCAGCAAGAGAAGCAGGAAAATATCCAACACCAGGAGCAACAGCAAGAGAACCAACAGCAACCGCAGCAAGAGCAACAACAACACCAAGAACAGCAAGAGCAGCAGCAACAACAGCAGGAAGAGCAACAACGAGAACAGCAGGAAGAGCATCAACAAGAACAGCAGCAAGAGCATCAACAGCAACAGCAGCAGGATCATCAACAACAACAACAGCAGCAAGAGCAACAACAACAACAACCACCACCACAACAACAGCAACAACAGCAGCAAGAGAATCAACAGCACCAACCTCAACAGCAACCCCAACTACACCAACAACTGCAGCAGCACCAACAGCAGCACCAACAGCAGCAGCAGCAGCAGCAGCAGCATGGATATATGGGAGAGTCGAGTATGCATGGCTATAGAGTCCTAAGAGGCCTCCAATTATGGGAGACAATCGATTTGAAGCACGGCGATATTCTGTTGCTGCAGTCGCAGCTGCAGGTGCTGCTGCTTCGATTCTATCAGAAGCAAAAAGAGACAGAGGAGACGAATTCAGCCTCTATACAAGGAATTACACCTACACAAAGAAGAGCTTATATCTTTAATTCTATTCTTGTTTGTCTCTTTTTCTCCCTCCCTATCTCCCTCCGTATCTCCCTCCCTCCCTTCCTCCCTCTGTTTCTCCTTTATTATATGTATGTATATGTATATGGATATTATATATATGTATTATATGTGTCTCCTTTTTTTTTCTTATCTATATATGTGTCTCCTTAGGTATCTGTATTGGAGCACAGTCCCCTGTCTCCTTCTTTATTAAGTTTTTTTACTCGTTGCTGTTTTACTACCGATGTACCCCTTCGTCTTAAGGTTGAGAGACCCTTTGCCTCTCTACTACACGCAGGTCTGTCTCCTTTTTTTTTTCTTATTGTCCCTTTTTTATTGTCTCCTTTTTACTGTCTCCTTTCTATTGTCTACTCTTTATTGTCCCCTTTTTATTGCCGCCCTTTTTATTGTTGTCTCCCTGTTATGTTCGTACCCCTTTTTTCGTGCCACCTTATGTTGCTGTTGCGTCTTTTTTTCCCTGTCTCCTGCAGAGGCGGGCCGCCCGCAGCAGCAGCAGCGGCTGCAGCTGCAAGGCATATGTCTCCTTTGTACGGAGACGGCAAATCTCCTTTACTCCATCACAGCAGCAACGCACAGGATAAAACAGCCCACCACCACCCAGCAGCAACAGCAACAGCAGCAGCAGCAGCAGAAGCAACAGCAGCCAATTATTTTTACTCCTGTTCTTGTCTCACAAGCTGCCTTTGAGGAGAACGGGGAGCAGCACAGTGTAACTTCGGGAGGCACCTTGGTAAGGAACACCTCTTGTTGCTGTTGGTGCTGCTGTTGCTGCTGATGCTTCTGCTGGTCCTGCTGATGCTCCTGCTGGTGCTGGTGCAGTTGCTGCTGCAGATATAACTGTTTGCGTGAGAGCGCCGGTCTGCTTTTGTCTTACTCTCTGGATCTCGGCATATCTGGGGTTGCATTGTTCCGCTGAACTTCTTGCAGCGCCAGCAGCAGGTGCAGCAACAGCAGCAGCACAACAAACAACAGGGTTGAGGCTGTCTCTTTGGGTGTCTCTGTAGGTAGTTAGGGTCTCTGCTGGAGCGAATCG